GTGGTGTGTGTGGTCGGTGTGGTGGGGGGTGTGGTGTTTGTGGTGGTGGTGGTGCTGGAATGGTGGTATTTTATTTTGTGAGGCCAATATGGAGTCTTAAGGCTTCTTGGATGATACCGGAAATGTCCAAAGTAATCTAACTGTAATCAGCAGTATACATATATAAAAAACACTTCTGATCACTTTACCAAAAAGGAGAAACAAAAGCAATATTGACCTGTCTTGCTTTTCATATCCTTTACTGTTTTAATTCATCATAAATAGGTTTGAGATTTCTGCAGTCTCAAAGGCTCTCTTTCTACTTCTTCTCTCTCCTTAGAGTGAGTCTGTTCTATGATAAGGAAATTATCTGGCAGGCACCATCACCAAAATGCTCCATCGTGAGATTTTCACCAGTAGCTGTTTCAGCTGAAGAGCTGAAGAACATAGGTGTCCACCAACAACCCTCTGATATGAGTAATTTCTGCCTGGAGACAGCAGCTAACAGACAAGCGGGTAACCTATAGGTCCTTTGCATAATTATGATGACTTCCAGTTTAGTGTTTTTATGGGACTCCGGAGCGGAATGTGCAAACAGGTGGGTTTCTGGTTCTTGTGTCTTCTCTTAGGCTCTTTTCCTTTTGTTTGTTTGCTTTGTCCAATTCTGATGTGTTAGTTTTTGTTTTATCTTATTATATTTTTACATTATTTTTTGTATTTTATTATTATCCTCTAGAATGCAATTCATTTTCTAATGAAAGACAGAAAGGGGGTGGATCCAGATGGGAGGGTCGGGGAGGAACTGGAGGAGTAGAGGAGAGGGAAACCATAATCAGGATATATTATGTGAAGAAAAATATCTATTTCCAATAAAAGGAACAGAATGTAAAAAATAATAAATAAATTCTTCTTAGCATCCCATTGAGACTTCTCTAAAATATTCTAGGCCACAAACTTAGTCATACCAAATACAAAAGAAGCAAAATAATCTTTAATATCATATCAGATCATAGAGCAAGAAAATTCAAAACCAGTTACAAGAGAAACCACAGAAGCTGTACAAATACATAGACACTAAACTATACACTCTTAAATGACAGATGGAGTTGCTGAGAAAATCAGGGAAGAAATTAAAAATGTTTTAGCATCAAATGAAAATGAAAACACTATTTATGAGAACCTTCATGATACTACCAAGACAGACCAAAGGGGAAAATGTATAGGTGAGTGCTTACCCAGCTGTGACCCTGCAAGCTGTAACAGTGACCTAGGCCTGGCATGTGTGTGAGAACACACACATCATGACACCCATATGGAATTCAATTTATGGGAATTGGTTCTTTCCTCCCACTGTATGTGTCTCAGGAACTGAAAACTCAGGTTATCAGGCTTGGGGGCAAACACCATTATCCACTGAGCCTCTCACCAGCCCTTGGTCAGTATTTTGTTCCTTATAAGAATTCACCAATCACTTGAAAAATCATGTATTTTAAATTAAAAACAAAAGAAGATAATAATGATTAAGTGACGATTTTTTTTCAGTGACTTAGTTGCTAAATCAACAGAAAACCACATAGAAACACCCAATGTAGCAAGATGTGCACTATTCACTACAGCCTTGGGATCAGGCATGGGTGTTGTCTAAGGAATGCTGAGGGAAATAAATGTAGAAATTTTGCTGACTCCTCTACAGCTTTGTCACTTTAGCTGAATCGCATGAAGTCATGTTCCAGTGTACCATGTCTTTGAGGTGCAATGTTACATAGCCCATGTCAGCTGGTAGATGTGGAACTCAAGTTACAGTCATGCATTGATTTGACCTCTTCTCACCTCTTTCTTTACTTCCTCCTCATCCTCCAGTGTCAGTGCAGCCAGCTGCTTAGCTCTCTGCTCCATCAGATTGACATACCGGATTGGGTTTGACAAAGCTTCGATCACATCTAAACAGGAAAGAGACATTGTAGGCCAAGCTTTCTGGAGGGGTTGACTATCCATCATCCATCCAAGGAAGCATCCAAGCATACACCCCACCATCCATTCATGCATTCCTTCATCACTGGCCTACCCACTCATTGATGTAGCAGCATTTATTCTTCCACCTACCCCTGTGACTATCCACTCAGATATGCCCCTTTTTGAAAATACACCAGGGTCGGGACTTTGCTCAAACTTCAGTCACCTGGTTCTGAGAGCCAAATGATTCGAATTTCAAGTCATGATCCCCCTAACTTCGTGTTCTCTGGCTTCATTTTGAAGGTTTTCTCTCCTCCAGCAATGACTCCCATACTTGGCTTATTTGGTTAAAAGTATATCATAAGTGGAGACACTTCACATAAAGCCTATCTTTCAGTCTATTGGAACAACCAATTTGGCAATTTTGGTCTCATCTGCATGGCAGTGGCAAGACAGAGGGAGTTACAGCTGCCACCTTTGGGCCAGAAACATGTGTTCCAAGTTTGTCACAGTCTCCACCAATGGTCAATGTTTCATTTTTAGGGCCTTTGATAATAAAAAACAAACACAACCACAAGAAAGAAAACAAAGCCAAAACAATAACAAACAAACAAAACAACATTTAAAAATGTGACTTTTGGTTAAGCCTGTGAATTTGGGACTCCCATCTATAGACTTGGTCTGCAACTAGCTGGAGGCAAATTCACTACACAGAGATAGATGAACAAGTGCAGCACTGGGCAGCTTGGGCTGGGATGTGTTGGTCCCATGGGGGGAAGACTGCCCTTATGTAAATAGAGTAGACATTGGAATATTAGGATTTCAGTCGAGAAATGTTTAATGTACACACAACGGCTCAAGCAACTGATTGCTAAGCATACACACAAAAGAAGTTGAGCTTATGAGGCCACCGTGTCCCACCACTGGCCCAGTTAGCCTTCCACCAGGCCATGACGATGCAGATCTCCTCAGGCGGCACTGTTTACCTGCATATGTGTCTGGCACATAATCTTTGACTTCTATGTAGACAAAGACAGCTGGCAGCATCAGGGGCTGGTTCCTCTCATTCCGAAGGGAGATATAGTGATACCCTGCAGGGTGACAATGACACTGAGTATCACCTGTTTGCTTTACAGGGCTAGTGACACCCATTCCCACCTGTATGCATGACAAACAGTCCACTTCTTTCTCATTTCAATCACACAATTCTGAGTGATAAGGTAGGATTTTCCTCAACAGGCTGGAAAATATCACTGATTCTGTATTATTATTGTGACCATTATTATTTCCGTTCTAATCACATTTTCACCTGCAAATTGTATATCCCACTTTTAAATATTGGTTCAAATGTGCCTCCTGCAACAAATCATACTTGATGTGATTTTCTGACTAGGGATCTGCTTTGTCCGCGGGACATTAGTGCTATGGGACCAGCACAGTGTGAACACACACATGTCGAGTTAGGCACTTTTAATATACCAGTGGGTTCCCTTAAAGAGCCCCTAGGTTGGGTGCCACCACCACTTCAGATTGTACCACAAAATGAACACATGGGACAGAAATGAATCCAAATGGCATCATGAAGTACAACTTTGCCACTGAGCTCAGGCTAATCCAGTCTATCCTTAGGCTGTAGCTGATGTGCTTTGTCCACCCCCCCCAGCTCAGGCTAGCCCAGCCTATTCTTATTTTGCAGCTGATGTGCTCTGTCCCCCATGAGCTCAGGCTAGCCCACACAATCCTTATGCTGTGGCTGTTGTGCTCTGTCCCCCAGGTTCCTATGTTGGAGGCTGTGTGATCATCCAGCTGCTGCCTCAGGACAGCTGGACTCACAGCCTGTGCTACTAGGTCTTGCCAGAGATGGCTCCTGAGAGAGATTCTCATAAAAAAGACTGACTCTGGCCTACCGAGTTCTCCAGTTTCCTATCTGGTGAGGGGATCCCCCCCCACTTCCTCTAGGAAGCCTCCATTACTAGGTCTTTACCAGAAAAAGAAGATAAAATGATCTCATCTTGACCTTGTAGCCTCCAAAACTGTGAGCAAAATAAGCTTGTTTTCTTTATAAAGAATCCTGACTAAGATATTTTCATTATAGTAGTTAAAAAGAAACATAATACAGTGCTAACTGACAAGACTCATGAGTCGGGAACACAAATACTCAGAAGTGAGTTTTCACACAGCTTGCTATACACAACTCTTGTGGCCAAGGTTGATTCTTGCAACACTATAACATGACAAAATGAAAGCCTCTGTTATGCAGCAAAATCACAAAGGAGCAATGTTGTGGAATATTAGTTTAAGATGTGTTTGTTATATTCATTTATGCTGTGGAATATCTGTTTAATGATGCAAAGATGAATTGCAGTCTTTTACATTGCATTTGTTTAACTCTGTGAAGTTGTGTTATTGTGCCTGTCTACAATGCCTGATTGGTTTAATAAAGAGCTGAATGGTCAATAGCTAGGAAGGAGAAAAGAATAGGTGGGCCTGGTGGGCAGAGAGAATAAATAGAGGAGAAATCTAGGGAAGAGAGTGAGGGTCAAGAAAAGGAGAAAGAGAGGATACTTGTGTGTGTGTGTGTGTGTGTGTGTGTGTGTGTGTTAAAAAGCACACAGGCAAAATGCATTTAAAGAGAAATAGGACAATTTCAGTTAGAAAGAGCTGGCTAAAAATAAGCCAAGCTAAGTTCAACCATTCATAAGCATGAATAAGTCTCCATGTATTTATTTGGGAGCTGGAAGACAGGCCCCCTAAGAGGGGGAAAAAAAACCAATAGAGCAAATAGATCACAAGTCATTCTTTTTTTTCTTTTTTCTTTTTTTTTTTTTTTTTGGATTTTTGAGACAGGGTTTCTCTGTGTAGCTTTGGAGCCTATCCTGGCACTCGATCTGGAGACCACGCTGGCCTCGAACTCACAGAGATCCACCTGCCTCTGCCTCACGAGTGCTGGGATTAAAGGCGTGTGCCACCAACACCCGGCCATAAGTCATTTTTTAATGACAAATTCTCTAACCACACTATCCATACCTGGCCGAATAGCCTGCACAGGCAAGATCCGGTGGCCAATAAATTTACCTCCTTCTTCATAGGCTGCTACCCTCAAACAGGCCAGAGAAGGCAGAACTACCTGTGGGGACATGAATAATGGTGGTTACAAGAGAAAGCAAATCCCAGAAAGAACTGGAAGAGTATTTGAGAACCTGGTCCCACCTTTCCAACAGCATGTATCTATTTATCTAATCTAGGTAAAATGTTGAGCTGCCTCTGTGAGGTAAGAAAAGCAATGAGCAGAAATGGATGCATTTGGGTATGCCACCTTGCTCCAGATGGCATTTGAGCCAAAGGATACTTTGTTTTTACACACATATCATCAATGAAGAAAGTTCTGCAAACTCAGTTGGGGGGGTCTCACCATTGTGCACATAGCTTTTCAGATATGGTACTTTGATATATTAAAGCAAAACCTAAAATCAAGAAGCAAGGGGAAAGGCTCAGAGGTTAAGAATACTCGTTGTTCTCAAAGAGCATCCAGGGTCAGTTTCCAGCACCTACATGGCAGTTCTCAAAGGTCTATAACTCCAGTACTAAGAATCCACCTCCCTCTTTGTGGGCACCAGGAATGTATGTGATGCATAGACTCACATGCAGGCTGAACATTTGTATAAATAAATCAATAAATAAAGCTAAAATATTAAAAATTTAAAGCTTTCATGACAACCTTTAAAATACAACTGCTTTATCTACTCATGACCAAATAATTGCCCATTTTTCCTTTGTTTAAAACACCCAGAAAGCACCTGCCTCTCACAGCAGAGACCCACCTTTTTGAACACAATAGGTTCTTCTTCCCAGACAGGATTTACAGCATTTCCTTGGGATGTTTTGGTTTTAAATGCCTTCCTCCTTGTGTCCACAGGCAAACCAAACATATCCACTTCCACGTAAGTCCCAACCTTCTTATCAGAAAGAAACTGACCTGAAATAATCTAGAAAATAGCAGAAAGTCTTGAAAATGGGTAACAAAAGATTCAGGAGACAGCTTTAAGGAGGCCAATGCAGGCTGTGAGTGTGAAATCATAAGTGAAATGAAATAAAAGCAAGAGTAGAGCCACCATTCCTCTCCATTTAAAGAGTTGATAGAGGAGACTGAGAATGGAGAGGTTAGGAGCCAATCAGATGGCGTTGTATGGGAGCAATAGATGAACAAGCATTCTTGGAAGTCACCAACTTATAACCTCTGCCATCATCCAGTTAGCCATCTGTACAATTGTGGGACTCCTTTGTCTGACTATAGAATTAATCAATGTCCTGTAGTTAAATAAGATTTAAGACTACACATTCCTACATTAGCCATGGTTTCTTTTATCTATAATTGTCTGTCAGCATCTGAGGGACCCATCACCTGTCAAGAATGCTAATGAACACATTATCCCAGGACCAACTCAGAGAGCTTTCCAGGTTACTATGTCTCTGACTGTTCAGGATTTCTGACCCTCTGCATTCCTCAGCTCCTAATGCTTATGTTCATGCCACCATTGTGCCAGATTTCTAGCCCAGTCATCATCTTGGAAGTCCTGTCCCTGTCGTGGGTAAGCTATAAGGCCACTGAGAAGCTGATGACTTTGTTCCAAACACATAACCCAGATTCTCTGCATTTGCTCCATCACTTCCTGTTCCTGCTGCTCTTTCTGGAATGAAGCACAGGCACATTTTTTTTTTTTTTGTTCCCATTAACCATCATGGCAGGTGATATATCCCTTGGGTGTTGACAACTGGACTACATACAGAGGAAGATGTGGGAGATGTTTTGTGAAAATGTAATGTTAAGATCTTATTCAATTCCACATGAATAATTCCATTCCTAGGCAAAGTAGGATCACAATTGCATAGATGGCTAGCTGTGCAAGAGGATGAGTTTGATGGGCACACACTTGTTATCAATCACTGTTGTTTAACTTGGGTTCTACTTCCTAACAGGCTTTGTACCATATTTGAAATTTTTAAGTGATATGAATCCCATCAGGGATTCAGATGCCCTGAAGTTTTGGGTGCTGATGTTGTTTGATCAAAAGCAGAGCCCTGGAGTAGCCATGACCCTAAGTCTCAGGATTCTTGCCAGTCATATGGAAAGGTAGATCACCATGTTAGCTTGTAGGTCTGGAACTGTGAAATCTCTGCCAGAAGACCCACATAGAGGTATGACAGGACCAACAGGATCCTGACCCAAGGTTTGGCAGTGATGATGGAGTCATGGGGGTCTTTATGCAGTAGCCTGCATTTTGGACAGAAGATGCAGGGTAAATTTTGGGAGGGGTTCTCAACAATTTCCCCACTTTTATGGATCTATGTCATGGTTTTGTAACCATTTCCACTGTCAGAATAGAATTTTCAAGACAAAATCAATAAGCAAAAAAGACATATTGGAGTAAGGGAGTCTAAACAAGTCAAACTACTACTAGCTTGACTCAGCTAGGACAACAAGTAACAGGAATGCAAAACAAAAAACAAAAATCAAAAAAACAGTCTTCTGTCACTATGTGGTGCTTATGAGTGTGTTTTAACCATTCCTGACAGAAACGAAACATCATTGCTGAAAACAATTTCTTAAAACAAATACATTTATGCAGCAGCATTTTTGCCTAGTTCACTCTATAATATGTGGTTTGAAATAACTTCAAACGATCTAATTACAAAGCATTTGATTTTGAAACTTTAACATAAAGTGGCTCACTCTGGAGAGAGCTGGGGGCTGAACAGCAATGCTGGATCTAGAGGCAGAGACCTGTCATCCCAGCACCTAGGATGAGTTGGGTAAACTGAGAATTTAAGGCAAGCTTAAGTACATAGTGATGTGGTCTCAAAAAAAGAAGAGTCTTCCTAACTCCTAAGTTTTTAGTGACAAGGATACTTCTTTATGAAATATAGGTGATATTTATGTATCTTCTCAGGGATGGGAAGCTGGCGGTGTTAAGGGTGGGAGTGTACATACCTTAACGGATAAGGTGTTGGCCACTATCCCATCTACGATTCCTTCAGTAAATGGATCAAAGTGCTTGTCCGGCCTCCTCATGAACTCTGGCTTTAGCCTGTAGCCGCTCTTCCCATTGTACTCATACATACCCATGTTTATCTGCATAGCTAGATCTAATTAGAAAAACAGCCCAGTGTAAACGTATTTGTGTTTGGAAATTGTAGAATAAGACTGTATAATATTATAGGCCACTTCCCTGACTGTTCACACCTTTACTGGGGAATAGTTACACACCATAACAATTTAGACACACACACAAACAAAAGAACAACCCCCCCCCAAAAAAACAACAAAACCCCAAACAAACAAACAAATAAACAAAAAAACCCAGCTCTAATCCCCAAACCCAAAGAGAGTCTGCAGGTTGGTTTATAGTGTTCATCTTTTTCAATTTAAACACTTTTCTTATAAACATCACACCCATTTTAGTAACTATTTTTGGCCTTAATTTTAATAGCTGAATAAAGTTCCTTTGAATACATATATTTGAGTTGATGATTTTAATCAGTCATTTCTTTAGACACACTTGTTTCTAGTAAATTTTCAGCATTTTACATGTCTTTCAGTGAATGTAATAATGAAAAATTTGAAAATTTAGCAGTGGTTTTGCTAGGAGTGAAGGAACCCACAGAATCAAAAGGTAGACATGTTAGAAAAGGCTGCTTTTATTTTGTTTCTTATACTCATATAAACCATTTTAGGCGAGTTTTGAGGACTAATTTCTAGGTAACTCATTATCAAAGGATGCTATAATTATTTATTAATTTACAGGAAGGCATTTTATCTTATTTTATTTTATTTATTTTTTTTGGGGGGGGGGGTTTGAGACAGGCTTTCTCTGTATTGTTTTGGAGGCTGTCCTGGAACACACTCTGTAGACCAGGCTGGCCTCAAACTCATAGAGATCCTCCTGCCCCTGTTTCCCGAGTGCTGGGATTAAAGGCGTGCACCACCAACGCCCCGGCCAGGAAGGCATTTTAAATGTGCATTTCTGTGCTTAATTACAGCCAATATGAATTGTTCACAGACTCTTTTCCAGTGGACCTAGGTTACTGGTCAAAGTTTCAACAGTCAGCACATTAAATGAACGTGTAAATTTACTGTAATAGCTGGAGTTAAAAATAAACACATTTTAGGGCCTAGGAGCTCAGTGGTGGAGTGTTTACCTAGCATATACAAAACCCTGGATCAAATAAAAACTGTGGATTTGATACAAAATATATATATAAACATAAACCAAATAAATAAAAAGAAAAAACAGAATGATTTAGAAATGTTAAGGTACCTAGGAAATAACTATCTGCTCCAAGTCATCCATGAAGTGATCCTACTTGTACTAATGGGGCCAGCAAAACGGTAATAACAGGGCTACTTCAGAGTTCTATGCAACATGTTTTAGAGCAAGGAAAATGAATGAAAATTTCTCTATTGCTTTAGCAAACTATTATAACACACACACACACACACACACACACACACACACACACACCACACCCAAACAAGGTATTGAACCTATTAGTGGCAGCGTTTATGGAAGATTTCTTTTTCCCTGTGATTTTTTTGCTTATTTGTTCTGTTTTGTGTAAGAGAGTGTGTGCTCACACACTCGGGTGTAGGTGCCTCTTATGTGTCACTGCATGTGTGATTATAGGGACACCTACCAAGTGTACAAGTGTGTGGAGGGCAGAGGACAACCTCAGCTGCTCCTTATGAACTGTCCACCTTGTGCTTTTGAAACAGTCTTCCTCTGGGACCAGAGAAGGCTAGCCTGGATGCCAGCAAACTCAAGGGTGTCTCTCTCTGCCTCTCTAGAGCAGGGATGATAAGCGCTCATCATCACATCCAAGCTTTTTCATACAGGCTCTAATGGACCTTGGGTGCCTATGCTTACAAGATAAGGGCTTTACCAACTGAACATTCTCCCTAACCCAGGGCTTTTGAATTTTCAATTTTCTTAAAATGATTTTAGACTCCTTTTTTAATTGCTTGAAAAAGCATCATGAAATCCATAGATATAAAATCCATTATATCTCTATAACCCTAAGCCTAACCTTTTTCCTTTGCTTTGATTATCTTGCATTGTAATTTAGTTTTTCAGTCAAATCTGGCTCCCCAACCCATCCTAAATTCCCATGGTAATGGTTTGTAAATGCTTGGAAATGTGAGTTTGCAACAATGGGAGTGAGCTACTGACACTTACCCACTGTCTGGAAATTGAGTGCCACCATCTGACAGCCAGCATTCCAGAAGAGCTGCGGCATGTAGTTGGAAGAGTCCACACGTGTTCCTTTGGGGTATATCCTGCTAAGTTGCATCTTGTTGTATCTGGACCATCATGTTAAGTAGTGAATACAATTTCAAAATTATCAGTCTGTTATATTCACTGTGAGGCTACTTCCCTATTTCTTATTGGGAAAATGAAGTAAAAATTAACAATTGAATTGCATTAATAGGCAACACATATACAGAATGAGTTAATAGAACAAAAGTGTTATTGGAAGAAAAGCATTACTATTAGGAAACTTGTGGGTGCAGAATCCTAAGGCAGTAAGAATGACCTAGTCAAAGTCTATGGGAAGCATAGCCACAGTTGTAATGATGAAGGGCATTGTGAGAGGCTGGAATATTAAGTTCCAGGGGAGGATTGTAGTGTGTGTGGCAGAAGCAGGAAGTAGGTACCACAAAGCTGATTTTGAAATTCTCTGTCCTCGTTTTCTTAATCTTCTCTAGTAATGCTATTTGCCAAGATTACAGCAGTCTTTAAGATTAATAAAGCAGGTAAGTTTTTTAGTTCAGTTTCCATTCTAAGAACCTTGTATTGCTCTATCTTTGTAACATGACAGACTGACACCTACCCCTACTTAAGGAAGAAGTTAGTTAAGGTCTGAGGCAGCCAAGACAGACTGGAGACTTAACACTGAAGCTGGTTGGCTATAAGATCTTGGGAAGTTAATTCATCTTCTGTTCTCATCAATAAAATAACTGAGCAATTCCTCCATCATGGGATTCCTTTGAGAATTAAAAGAGATAAAATACTTAACAAAAGATTAACACAAAGTCAGTACTCAATATTAATGACAACAATTGTAAAACAATTGTAAAAAAAATTATAGAGTTCACATTTGTTCCCTCTACTTTTACTAATGATTGTGTGTGTGTGTGTGTGTGTGTGTGTGTGTGTGTGTGTGAGTCTGAAAATGCCATAGCTTAGGCTGTCCTAGAAATGTTGATCCTGCTGCCTCAGCTTTCAGAGTGAGACTTGGGCTATAGATGGAAACTACTCATGTATCGTTCCCCTTATTGAACAAACAGCCCATGACTTCAACAGGTATGGTCAACAGTCATTCATCAAATCAAGGATACTCTACAAATTCCACTGGAGACTTTGTAAGTTGTTCAAGTCCTTTGGTTTCCACGAAGGAAGACATTTCAAAGCTTTTATTTCTTTCTGAGTTCAACAACAACAAAAAGGATAAGAAATAAAATACAGTATTATAAATCATATTATTAAAATAAACAAATGTTAAATGAATTGTAGGGTAACTGATTTAACATTCAGTGTGGATATTTGCACTTTTATCCATGAACCATTTATCATTGCTCGGATGAGATGTCCTTATGGTTCTGTGCTTTAGGGTGTGATTTAATTAACAGGTGTTGTATGACAAGGAAAATGTTTGTTTTTTTTTTTTTCTAAATCCCTCCAAGTTGACTTTCTGGGGGATTTGCAGAAGATACTGTGGGGATGTTGGTGCTGATATTGTATGTTACTCATGCCCATATGTCAACTCTTAAAGTCCCAGCTAAAGTGGCATTGGAATTAGGATCTATCAAAAGGCAGGAATCCTTATTTCTATATTGGATTACAACAGCCAAAGGGGCGAATGTGTTAAAGAAGTCAATATTCTTGAATATCCAGAGTTTTAGGAAAACACACAGAATGTATAATTCAAGACCCTACAGGGGACAGGGGACAAAACAAAGTGAGCTCAGTTTAGATCGAGTGACAGACAGTTTCATGGTCTTCCCAAATTAAAATCAGCAGCTATGCCCTATACTTGGGTATGTGTTATAAACAGTTGGAAAAAAAACTCTATATTTTGAAAACTGACCATCTTTGGGAAGTTTTTCCCTTTTTGACCCTCTCACTTTGAAAATGAGGCCCTTATCCTTACTCTTGATCACCGGAGGCTCTATCCATTACCCACTTGCCAATTTTCTTTCAGGGAACCCGATTCCTTTATTTTGGTTCATCATTAATTTACTTTCATGCAACTAATTATTTTAAGCATGACTGTTAATTAAAATTAAGTCCGCATGATGGGTAAAATACAATCAATGAAATTCCTAGCGTGATCAAGGGACAGGAACCACAAAGAGAAAGAGTTTGGAAGTCCATGGGCATCTCTGCATTCTAGAGAATGTCTACTACCTGCTCAGCTGCCTCTCATCACATCACCTTTAGGAGCTTTACACAATGGAGTCACAGATAGTGAAGCCAAAGGGCAGGAAACTCTCCCGGCTCCCCCAGCTTTAGGATGCTTTACATTGAACAACTTCAGATGATGAGAATCAGGAATTATGGCACCAGAAAATGCTGGATTCTTTATATGTGAACTGTAGTGAAATTTAAATTCCTGTGCATGTCAAGACACCAAGTGCCACTAAATTCAGACTCATAGCAGAAGCTCACAAATATAAATAACCACGCCACATAGAAGCTTAAGTTGGGCAAATCTACACTGTTGCATATAGGCAAAATTTCAGTTAAGCAACCAGGAAGCTTCAAGGATCCTCTTGCTCTGATCTTACCTTACATTTGTGTAAGTATAAAGAGCACTTTCATAAAAAGGTTTCCCCATTAGGCAACAGAAAGATGACTTTTGCATTCAATATGAATGTATAGTTGGGTGAAGGGAAAACAAGGAGCGATGCAAAGTGAGTTACATATTCTCCTCAATACATGAGATGAGCTGGAGAAATGGAATGTGAATAGGTTGATTCCATTTTGTGTTGCCAAAGCGTGTGTAAGGCTTTCTTGCTTCCCTTCTGCAAAGATGTGGACAGATGCTTAACACTGTCACTATGTTACTTGGGGCCCCACACGGGTTGTAGCCCAACAAATGAAATGTGAAATTCTCAATCCCTTGGACACTGCTTTGGTATCTTTCAGGTAACCCTGCATGGTCTGTAGGCCCATAAAATATATAGAGGAGCATCATGAAATATTATCTTAGGATTTTCTGATATATCATATATAATATTAAATTATTATAAGAGTTATATTTTTGTAATGATACCAAGATGGCATAATCCATGCAAATATCCAAGTCGTCTAAAACAGAAAAGTTCTTGCAGCTTCTGACTACCTCCTGTTTAGGCTACACTAGGGATTTTTCCTGCAGGAAAGCTTACTTTTTGAAATTTCAAAGGACTCAAACTTGACAGGCTGAATATAGTTCACGAGGTTAGACATCTCTTCTGTGGCCATGGCCTCGCTCCCAGCAGTCCCCTGGAATCAGGAAAAAAATGAAGAAATATTTCCAGAGTCAGCATTATAGCATCCAAGGTTATCTTCTCAGGAAAATTTCACATGATGGGAGGGAACAGAAAAACCTTCCATTCTGAAAAGATCTGCTGCGGAGAAATCCACCACAGGAGAGGAACGAAAGACAGGTCAGGTCCTCATCACAAATACTTGGTGGCACGTGGGTTATAGAATTTGGATTTTGCAGTATTTGTTTGTACATAATGGATATTTGGGGGATGAGTCCCAAGTCCAACAAAAAAAATCATTTAAAACTCACCTGAATGTTATACCCACTGCCAATTTTTTTCAATGCTGAGTATTAAAACCAGCACATAACGATTTTAAATATGAAATAAAATTTCATGGTATAGAATTTTCCATCAGTGGCATCAGGTCAGCTTTTCAAAATTTTGCGGTTTTAGACATTTTAGATTCTAGATTTTCAGATTCTGTATGCTCAGTGTATGGTTACTTTATGAATGGGAAAGCTGGCAGGGTGGCCTGGGGCCAACAGCATCGGTACCCCCCTTTATACACGCAGGTCCTCAGCCTCTGCCAGGCATCAGGGATGAAAATCTGCATTAATACAGTGATGCCCACAAGAACTGCTGTACTCTATAGCACAGAGCAGAGATCAAGTCTACAGTGAGTAAATCAAGAACTCACTTGAGAGTAACAACAATTATCATGCAGGCAGGCACTATATTAACTGAAAAAATTAATTAAATAATGGCTGCCTTGTGGAAGTAAGTGGGATGTATATAAAAAAGTTCTATATTTCTTGACAAGGACTCCTCTCCCTCATTGGGTCCTGTGTAACAAAGTGTGCAGTATGGATTTATGATTATTAAAAGTAAGCTAAAAAGCCAGGGGGGCGGGCATTGGTGGCACATACCTTTAATCCCGGCACTCGGGAGGCAGAGGCAGGGGGATCTCTGTGAGTTTGAGGCCAGCCTGGTCTCCAGAGCAAGTACCAGGATAGGCTCCAAAGCTACACAGAGAAACCCTGTCTCGAAAAAAAAAAAAAAAAAAAAAAAAAAAAAAGAATCCTGGCTTAAAAGCCAGGGGTGGTGCTTTCCTTTAATCCCAGCACTCGGGAGGAAGAGACAGGCAGATTGAGTTCGAGGCCAGCCTGGTCTACAGTAGCCAGGGCTACACAGAGAAACCCTGTTTTGATAAATAAAGGATGTGAGCTCAGAACAGTGCCTGGCAAATAGTAAGATCTTACAATATTTTAGATGTTACCTGCAATTACAAATTCTTTAATAAGTTGAAGTGAAGAAAACTCATAGATCTGTTACTTGCACAAGTCAGGTCTCTACAGATGAGTCTACCATTTTCTCAGTTCTTAGTTTAGAAGTGAAAATACATAGAGATGAGGGTTCTTTGTGGAAATAGCAGCAGAAATAGCCCAGTTAAAATGCCAACTGGGAAATAGTCATTTGAAAATAGACAACTGCAAAATGATCCAAGTGTACCCTGAAGCCACTTTCAATACACATGGAATGTCCTCGTTATTACTGCAGTTTCCCTGTTGGTAATCAAGATGAAATTTAGTGGGGACTTAACAAAGCACATTTCACACTAAGCTGAACACCAAGGCTCATGTGCATTGTCTCAGCTACCTGGAGAAAGAGGTGAGGGTTCTCCTTGAGCCCAGGTGTTGGAGGCCATCCTAGGCTACAAAGTGGGACTCATTCACAAAATGAACGAATAAAATACATAAAAGTTCAGACCACATCAAAGCATACAATTATAAAGAAAAGAATGCCAAAGAAGAATAACTCATTGATCCGTGTGTGGTGATATGAGGTGGGGGCAGGAGAAGCCTGAGTTTGAGCTAACCTCATCTTCAAAGTGAAGTTAGAGGCTAGGCTGGGCTGCCTAATGAGATACTACCACAAAACCTAGCAAGTAAGCAGACCCCTCAATAAACAAATGAACGCTAATAGAAGAGACAGGGGTTACTTTTATTTACTATAATTGAACTATAAGGCCATCAGTACAGAGCCAAAGACTATAGCATATTTGGATGTAGATCCAGTTTCAGATTCATGATAGTGACTGAAAGAAAATTCTGCAATCCTCAAATGAACTTGTCGTCCCTGATTTGTTTCCAAGTTCTGTAACCATTATCACTTCTGAGCTGGTAGCACCACCCGGGGAGCTGATATTAACACATTGATTCAGTGGATGAAAAACCAAAGCAACGGAATCACTGTCACATCCTTGAACATTCCTGAAAACCTTGTATTTTCTCTGGACTTCAGACCACCCACACATCATTGTATGGCCTCAAAAACTGGAGCTGGAAACCAAATGTCCTGTGGTTATTCTTTCTGCCACTAGATGGCAGGAGGGGATCATAAGAGAGACATAAGATGGCACACTGGGGGTCAGAGCTCTAGCCTTAACTCACCTCATCCATGGAAGACTTTTTACAGTCATCATCGTCATCATCGTCATCACTCTCTGTATCCGCTTCCCCTGTCAAATTTTAATCACAGACACGATTTCAGAATTCGAAAGTATGAAGAATTTGCAAAAAAAAAAAAAAAAAAAAAAAGCACACTACCTACCAAGTACAGTCAGGGATGCCCTGGAAAGCAGACTTTCTGCTTCTTTTAAAGTTATTTTTATTCTTTCCAATGATTTATGTTTTCTTAGTAACAAAGAATTGAACTGACATTTTGACGAATTTTTCAAAAATTCGATTTTTGATAAATAACATTAAAATTTCCAAGTTCAATGAAAAATGCCCATCTTAAAATTTCCTCACCCATCTGTGTTAGCAACATGTCACTGAATGTAATTTTATTTCTGTGCATCTTGTTGTAATGTACATGTTCTCTCTCAGAGATGCTAAACTCTGTGGCCCTAACACAGACAAACTCTGCTTCGATACTTCTGTCCTCTCCTAAGCCAGCGCAGAGCTCAGTGACCAACCTTCTCCTAATAAAGGACCTCACAGAAGCTGAGGAAGAAGTTATGAGTGAGGCCAGGAACTGTGGGGAAATGGTAGCACAAAGGACCACATGAAAACTCCCAAGTACAGATCCATAGTTACTTAAATAATGCACAGATCATAAAAATGTGCACCCTTCAGCTCTCAGGGAGAAAGAGCCAGACACAGTGGATAACTGCAAGGAAGTAGTGTCTTGTGAACTGGGTGGGTGGGACAGCGTGCACAAGGCCTGGCCAAGTCTGAGCCAGACCAAATCCTATCAAGGGGAGAGGAGGGAAGTGTGAAGTCCCACCTTTAGATGAGCAGCTCCTGGCAACTAATAGATTCTGGAAGATGGACAGTCGGTTTTCTCTAAGAATTTGGCCCCTGGTGAGCTGATCATGTTTGAGGGGAAGGCTGCAAACCTAACTAAGAATATTTGGGCAGCACAAATTGGTATTGATGATTCTGGGAAGATTTGGGGTAAACATTATCAAAACCTACTATAAGAAATTCTCAAAGAAGTAATAAAGACATTTTTTAAAGTTGACATTCCTTTAAAAGGGCAAGATAAAATAATCTAGTACAAAAAGAAAAAAATGAAAAGTAATAAAAAATAGAAAATAATCCAATGCTTTAAAACCACTGTGCTTGAAAATCTGTCAGTCTGACCTGATTCAGCATCATATTTAGCCAATAGGCAGTCATTTCAATTGGTTAGTTCTACCCTTCTCCCCAAGAGCTAATGGATAGTTTTCACCCACATAATATACACACATTAGTATATTAAGCATTAAATCATTGTATACTTCTAGGCTTAATCCAAACTCAATCAATCATGTAAAAATACTTTCAAAGAAAATGTAAAAAAAAAAAAAAAAAAAAAAAAAAAAAAAAAAAAAAAAAGCTCAGTGAGCAGCCCCCTTTGTTTCATCCACTGCAATAGCACGAACACCCCTATAGATGGCGGCATATGCTCAACGCAGAAGCAGCGTGCAGCGCCTAACACCTGCTCCCAGAGAGGCCTTCTAGAAAGTTGGCCACTTAGTTAAGACGACACAGTGCCCATACTCCTGCCTTCCAAGAAGCTCCTAAGTGTTTGCATGTGAGTGACCAAGCTCAGTCAGTAACTGGATGGTAGACCATCTGTGGAGGAGAAAGACTTCTGTAACAGTAAGAACTGTGGATGGACTCTCACAAAGATGCTGATATAATAAATATTGTGAATCCTTTATATTTGGTGGATATATATATATA